GTTGATACTCTCCCTTACATTTTTAAATGTTTAAATATAGGAAAATGTTATTGCATACGCATGGAAACCAATTCCATCTGTTTCTGCCTCCGCACTTGACTATGATGATCATGACAAACACGTTTATTGGTTGTTAAACGTACCACGTTTCTTGATTATTACAATTAAAACGTTGCTCCTATGTGTATTGAGTCACGTTTAAACAACGGCAAAGACGAAAAACAAAAGCGTATGGCAGGAACATCACATTTTAACGTTCAATTATCAGTCACAATTAAAACGCCACAAAAAATTATGTCAAACGAACGCCATCTACTAAACGTTAAGAAGATGAATAACAAGAACTCGTTACATTCACGTTTAAAGAGTGATGTTATACTACTAACATGCGTTAAAAGTCACTATAGTGTACACGAATTAAATGTAGCTATCAAAACATTGGTTAAATGTTACGGCAATGTACCAACTTAATGTTTATAAAACCCCTCTGTTGTGACGTTACAAAACGTCCATGTTACGTTCCTTTGTTACTGGACAGGGACATCACATTTTAACGTTCAATTAACAGTCACAATTACAACGTTACAAAAAATTATGTCACACTAACGCCATTCACTAAACGTTAAGAAGATGATAACAAGAACTCGTTACATTCACGTTTAAAGAGTGATGTTATAATATTAACATGCGTTAAACGTCACTATAGTGTACACTATGTAAATGTAGCTATCAAAACGTTGTTTAAATATTACAGCAATGTACCAACTTAATGTTTATAAAACCACTCTGTTGTGACGTTACGAAACGTCCATGTTATGTTCCTTTCTTACTGGGGTGCGTCTGCCGAAGGTGTGCGTGATCGGTACGTGTGCCACCACAGTTTAAATTTAGATTTAAAATGTTTGTAATTGCTTTTAAATTTTGTTACGTGTATTTACGAACCTAGTAAAGTTAGAGTTTTGTGTAATTTGGTCAAGCCGAACGTCTGATTTAAAACTTGTCTACAAAATAATAGTTATTTATGTATTAAGGGCATAATAGTGATGTTTATATTCTCGAGGGCGACGAGTTAAAAAGCTCGAGGGCCTATGGCCCGAGAGCTTTTTAGTCGCCCGAGAGTATAAACATCAGTTTATGCCCGTGGTACATACACAATTTTATGTTTTACAAATAGTTTTCTTCGTCATAATTCGTTTACAAAATAATTCATTATATTTGATCGAGAATGCGTGGTTCAAATTTCTTAATGTGATTGAAACCATCCAAACGTCAAACGTAATTTTAAATAATTCAATTCATCGTGAATGAGGAAGAAGTTCCAGAAACTACACGAAATAAGGCCAATCTTGTGATTTAGTAGATATTGACAATTAATAATTAACGTTTCTAATTTTCAATGACCTGCAAATATTTGTTTGTTTTGTCATTAAGTATAAATGAGTTACTATGGTGATACTTAATGCCCTAGGGCATAAAGTGGTACTTTATGCCCGCGTATCACAGATATAAAATGTGCTATGATAGGTTAGTAAGACATAAATGCAATTTATGAATCTAGTTTTTAGTGATCTTTTGGTAAAGAATAGTAGAGTGTCATTTCAGTATTTTCAGTGTATATTTGTATTTTTGTATTGGTCATACTAGGTTACCAAGTGATTCGCACAGCAATATAGTAATAAACAGCACTAAAGAGACCCGTGGAACCATTGCAAAATAGAAAACAACTAGGTCGTTGAATGAAGAAATAAGACTCAAGTAAAAATTAAAACAGAAAAATATTTTTATGCAAAAAAAAATACAAGGAATAGAAATAACAGAGAATAATGTAAACTGGGCAAAGAAACAAACATGGGGGGAATTTGGTAAAAAAAAGGAAGAAGAAAGGAACAAAATACGGAAATTAAAAAATTAGTTTTTTAGCTACAGCAAATTGGATTTATTAGTATGAAATTAATCTGGTCAGTGTCAGACGTTAGCATTGCTTACGCAATATTGTATGTACCGCACTATTTACTATTACTACTTCTTGTATTTGTTTGTTTGTGCTGTGATCTGTTACACATTAGGCAGAACGTGCTCTTCTGAATTCAGACGGCCGCTACGGCCAGAATTCAAAGGTAATTTTATTTTAATTCGTCGACTCCTTGATATAACGTTTGATTACATACTGGCTTTTGATACAATGGAATTACTGTCATTTAAGAATTATAGCTCCATTGTTTTCTGTGGAAGCCTGTTTTGATATTAATACTTACTCCGACTACTGGTTCATCCCCTTTTTACTAAACATTAATTTAACTTTAAATATTGACATTGCAGATCTATATATTACAGTGTCCTATTAGCAGTTAATATGGTTTCACACCTACAAAAAATGAGAACCGAAAGACAAGTGCTGCAAGCTAAGATTCAAAGTGCAAAAAGAAAAGGCCAAAGCCACCGAATTCAAAAAGAACGAACAAAATATATTGAAAACTGTAGAGGTAGCTGCGACTTCGGATGGACGGGCGGAAAAAGTGGCCATCATAGCGCCTTCCAACATGAGTTGGAAAATGCGCTTTCTTATTTGTAAATGTATTTTGTTGAAATGCCACCACAGATGTTTTTAGTAAAGACAAACATATCGCATATAGTAAAAATTTATGAGAGTATTTATAAGCGTATGTATGCCTTAATTTATTTTCCTTTGTGCACATAAATATTCCGTTATATGACCTTTCAGGACCTATGTACGGATCAATTCATCGAAAATGCGCTAAAGTTACTCGCTTCCTTTCACTTTTTCATCATTTCGGAAGATTCTTCACGCGTGGTTCTTGAGGATTCCGATGAAGAGGTTAAGCGAGTCTAGGAAAACTGGCTAACACTAACATGCTCATAGATACTAGTGGGTTTAGGTCAATAATGATCGAAACATGTAGAAGATTTTCACTCACTTAATTCTTCATGAAGAAAGAAATATTGAAGTGGTAGCAATAGGAAAAACGAATCTAAATCAACTTGTTCACTTACCATTTGCATTATCAACTGCGGCGGTTTCACTTTCCAATATGCAAAACGAAAATAACACCACCGCCGCCACAATAACACGACGCATGTCGACAGGTTAAGTGGAGCAAAACAACTTCAACGCGAGTCTATGCCGGCGAACAAGTTTGACATGCAATGGAAATACCAATGACGGGTTTGGTAATTCACCGCTTACGAATTAAATGTAATACAAATTGTTTGTCAAAAATATGATTAGCTTCTAAGGTCAAAAGTCGTATTGTGAGATAAAGAGAAGTTAGTATGTAAATCGTCGATCTTGTGGTAGCCATACGTTCCATTGTAGGTACAACATCCAATGTGACAAATAGGTCCTTTTTGGTACACATGTATATTTCAGTGATTGTATCTGATACACTTGAATCGACATCCTAATTGGGATTAAAGTGAGTGTGATGGGGAAGGTGTATGGAAGTTCAAGGAAGACCTTTTGAACATCTTAAGCATTAACAGACGTTGAAAATTTGCGATTGAGTTTGTGGTAATCCACCTTTATGGTTAGGCAACACACCCTTACATCTGAAACAAAAATACCACATGCTCTGTATATAATCAAGTGTGCTGTGTTTCCGATTTAGACCGTTTTGCGTAGATGCCGACGACTAGGGATTTTCATTACGAAGCTAGGGAAAAAATAGTGTAGGAAAAGATGGCGTCAATGGAGGGCATCACGCGTTCCCGGTTTTTTCTCATTGACTATTTTGTGAGTTGTGTTTTGAAGGTGTTTTTACAGGTAGTAACCATTTTGCTCTTTCTTGTACTAACTATTAATCATTAATTTAATGTCACAATTTATTATTTAGGTACATTTTGCTGATTTTCCCCTATCCAAACATGGCGTAGTAGGTACCTACTCAAGCTTTTGTTTGTGTACCGTTATCTTAATCATGTTTGTTTGTTATACTGTACAGGTGATTATGCCATTGTTTTGTGTTATCAAGTATTTTTCTGTATTCACGAGGAGTTGATTATCTGTGTGTTGTTGCTCTGCTCGATAGAATCTAACTTTCCGTGCAGTCCGATGATTTGCTGTATTTGTTACTTTCTTATTCGTGACGCGCTGCAGTTCTTATGCGTAAGCTATACGGAAAGGGGGGTTCTCTTATTTGATGCTTCCCTGTATGAGTGTTCCAACTATATTCCGCGAAGGGAGTATCTGATACAGACCGATGATTCGCTGTATATGTTGCTCTCTTACTCATGCAGGCCGCAGTTCTTGTGTCTCGCAAAATGAGAAGGGGTCCACTAATTAAAATTTCTTCTATTTAAATTTTAAAATATGTTTTGCTTGAGCGATAATCGACTTTCACATGAATACTTACTAGTGGTATTCTAACATGTACTTTTTGTGTTAAACTAATTTATGTTAACGAAGGCCACGCCATTTTGATGTTTCCTAGGTACATGCAATTTATTATTTTACGAGTTTTTTGATCGTACATGTATTTTAATGTGTTTTTGTACTAAATTGATTTACATGTTTTCCACTGTATTTATGATGTATTGTGTGTTTTGTTTTATGAATTTGTTTAACTGCATTTGATTCACTTATCTGATTTTAATTTTGTGTATTTGGTCTTGCATTTTATTGCTATAGTCCCGCTATAGTTGATCTATGTATTTCATATATTTGTGTGTGTTATGCAGGGTTTTTTTTACTTGCTGGTTCGTTTTTCCTGATTTGTCGGTTTCGATTTGCTCCGCGGAACCAAGCCTTGTATTTAATTTCTTTGCACAAAAAAATTCTGTCTTTTATCCCAACACATAAAGGACCGGTTACACAACGTAGGAGTTCATTCGTGAGATCCACATCGAAACAAGTGCTACCGAAATTCAAAAGTGCCACGAAACATCCGTCGTTTCGACTTGAAAGGTAGGTGGCTCTGCTCATAGTTTTTTCCGAGAGTTGCCAACGGCAAGTATAGGGTAAGTCAACAGTAAAATTACATTGATTGACTCAATATTTTCTCGCCAGACCTGACCTTTATTTAGAAATATACAATTCGTTGTTGTTTTTGGATTGCTTAAGATTTAATTATTAAGAACTCTTAGTTTAGCTGCCAAGGATAAACTTTAAACATCTACCACAAAACGAGTTATTGTTTACTAACACGAGTCGTCTTCAATTTCCCTCAACAAATGAGTTATCTCTGGATAATCGAAGTGTACTGACAATTGCAGTGCACGCTGTCCGTTTTTATCTTCGGCGAATACGTCGACGCCCCTTGCGATCAATAAATCAATCGCATCAATGTTCCGGTATATAACAGCCGTATGAAGAGGAGTGTGTCCCATTATATTGACCTTTTTGATATCGGCGCCGTATCTCAGCAGCAACTTTGCTACTTCATTCCCATGAACGGCCACAGCGGCATGAAGTGGCGTGTCTCTTTTCGTAGTCATAGAGTTGACGTTCGCGCCTTGTAGAAGAAGAAATTCGACCATTTTCGCATTTCTGTTGGTGGAGGCAATATGGAGCGCAGTTGTACCGTCTTTCCTCGCGCGGTTAATGAGTGCTCCATTCTCGATCAACATTGCGACAATATGGGGGTTGCCATTCGTTACAGACAAAATAAGTGGCGAGTTCTCTTCGTTATTGAACATGTTCACGGATGCTCCTGCGCCAATAAGCACGTCTACTGTATTACTGTTGTTGTGCCATACTGCGAGATGGATGGGTGTGTTGCCCTCCAAATTTTGTGCGTCTATTTCCGCTCCTATTTCAATCAGACGGTAAGTCAAGTTGACGAAACCATGGCGCGAGGAAGAATGAAGTGACGTGTCTCCATGTTCGTTTTCCGACCTGACCATTTCCACAGTGGCTTTACAACGTCCACGACCTGAAACATAATCCCGATTTTAGTATAGTAAATTTATTTCTTTATTATCCGTCTCTCGCATAATGCTTTTTCTGCGTGCCCCTGCAGAAGGTCTTAAGGTGTTTTATACTACTCAGGTATTAAGAAAACTGCAGGAAAACCTAACTCGGAGTAGCCGAACCGAAACTGATCTAAGGAAATTCTCATCTCTGTCGCAGATGAAAAATTCTTACCTCAGCCCAGGTTCGAACACCCGACTTCCGGCTATGTGGCCCAATGCTCTACCGCTGAGCCGCATAGTCGCCGCGAAAAGGCATATTTTTATTAAAATGAGAATTTTCCGCCATTTTAACAAATTAAACGGGAAACTGACGGACGAGTCCATGTCGAGAAAAACGAAGGTGGGTGTGCGGTTGCGGCGCTATTTTTGCGAAATCATGAGGAATGGGTGCGACAAACTAACAAATTTTTTTTTGCAGCGTCAATACAAGCTTTATGGTAGGTAAAAATTATCCGCGACGTTTTTTAGCGTCAAAAATAGTGGCCAGCGCGACGCATCGTTAGGATTTTACGCCATTTTCCCTCTTAAAACGTATGCGATAAACCACGTTCTAGGGAGTTCGCTGAAGCCAAATAAATGCATTGACAATCCCTAAAATGAAAGCCGAAAAGTTTGTATTTCAATACGTTTAAATTTGGGGCTTCTCGTCCTGAGACAACTTTCTATATTGTTGGTAGCAGTGCCTGGATGTAGTAGTTCACGCTCGAAAATCTGAAGCGTTATACGATTCCTGTCACAAACCACAGAGTTCATACCAATGGTGAGCGAGCCGAAGGCAAGATCGGCATAAACAAATCGCTCGCACGAAGTTCTGAACCATGTTGCAAGGTTCCCGTCACAAAAAACAGAGTTCATACCAATGCCGCGCGAGCCGAAGGCGAGATCATCATAAACCAACCCGCTCGTCCGAAATTCTAGACCCTTTTATACGGTTCCGGTGATAACACAAAGAGTTCATACCAACGCCGAACGAGCTGAAGGCGAGATCGGCGTAAACCAATCGCTCGCTTGAAATTCTAGACCGTGTTGTAGGGTTCCGGTCACAAAACACAAAGTTCATATCAACACCAAGCGAACAGAAGGTGAGATCGACATAACTCAACCGCTCGCCCGAAATTCTGGATCCTGTTATGCGGTTCCGGTCGTAAAACAAAGAGGTCATACGAATTCATACGACGTTTACCAACACCCCAACATATACGCATAAATAAGAGAAGTCATTGAAACTTAATCGTAATGTGAAAGTTTAATCTGATCGGGTCTTTGTTAAAAAAGAGATTTTATCGAAAAAGTTAATTGGCTATGTGATGACCAGATAATCAATCCATGTATTTATCAATACGGGTGACGGAGCAGTGTTTCGTGTATCGCCGGGAAACTACGATATGGAATTGGGCAATGGGGGTGATCTCTACTTTAAATGCGAAAAATTGGAAATAAACAACTTGTTTTGGGGTCGATTCTAAAAGCGTATGTCATTGTTGCGCTAAAATTTGATGGACAGTTTCGCCAAATAAAGTAGTGAAGTGTTCGGTTCGCCATTTATCGCGTTCCTACAGTTCAGACCAGATAATTTGGATATTATTTACCTGAACTATAAGGCATTATTTTTCTTGAGATCTCTTGAATTGCATTGTCAGTTTGTCCGTTTTGCAGACGGAGTGTACCTTGGAGTGTACTGTTAGCCTTACATTTTTTCTTACAGGTTTGGTTTTTGTATTAGTTTTCGTTCGCATAGTGTGTGTTAGAATAAATTCTTGTAATTTCTTTTTTATTAATCAATTATATGCCAATTTGAATCCCAATTTGAGATCCAGTTTAATTTTTCTGTCTGATTTTTCTAGTTTCTTTTTATCCGAGTGAATTTGATTTAGGCTTTCGTAACTTTCAAATTCATAAAAGTTAAGTCATTATTATGTTAGAATTGAATATATCATTAGGATTTTCATACCACTTGTGTATTGATTTAAAATAGGTTTTACATTTACAACACTTACATTGACTTATTTATATTGTTTAAATTATTTATTGATTTAAATATATAATTCAGGTAACGTATCGATTTTTATCTTCTTATGATATTTAAATTTGGCGCTCCCAATTTTTTTATCATAAATTTAACCAAATTAAGTTGTGCATATACCAATACCACATTATGTATTTAACACATAATACCATCGACATATAAAATGGACTGCGCGTGCTAATACGAAGCCTGGATACTGAGGGTGACATACAAGCACAGCCACAGCAATGTCGACCAAGAGAAGCGCGATATAGAGAGGTTGCCTCTTAGTTTTCCTTTCTTTTTTACCTGCCGTATCCGCGCTTAACACTGGCACGCGCAGTCCATCTCTATTTATGTCGATGCACAATACCTACGAGTAAAAATTAGGAGGGAATCTAACGGTGGTGTGAAATACTTTTCCCCTCAAAAAATGTATAGATCAGTTTCAACTTCATACAGAACTGCGAATGGTTTGATGTCGGATGGTAAAATGAATCAAATTCTGAATGCGCAAACAAAAAAAAACATTTTGGGAAAAATAGAGATAGGAGGTTCCTAAACCATATTGTCGTACTCGAAACTTCGATTCGAGCCGTTATAGGTGGTTTATGTATCAAGTTAATAAATATAGGCAATTGCGGAGTTAAAAGCATAAAATAACATTACCAATAAAACTGCAACAATCTCTCGGAGACCAAGCGTATATTTACGAAAGAGTTATGAGATCGCAAGTATGAACTTATCCACTGATATCTTTGACCTGCTGGAAGGCTAAGAGTGCTGAATGCAGGGGTTTTGAAACTACTTCATCTGGGACAATCTGCGCATCAAATTGTTAACATATTTCCAATTCCCGTACAGAAAGAAAGTACACATACCAAAATCGCTAACCTTGACCTAGGGGAATTTTCCACTACGAAGGAATCTCTCGAGATCGACGACTTTTGTATTTTATTGTAACCCAACGAAACGTAAGATTTTACGGTAATGTGTAACATTTTCAATTAGGAAATTAAGTTTTCTATTGTAAGTGGGTTTTAACACGACTTAACTGGGGAAGAATTTTTAATTAGTTGGATTATTTATTGTTGTAATATTAGATTTTAGTTAATGAACCTACTCCCATTTAAGTACAAATTTGTGTAAGCGCCATACCAAGATCTGTATAATATTGGTGATCACGGAGGGACGTATTACATTTTCTTGTCATTACTCAGTCGAGTACACAGCATTCCTATTAAATCCATATTTCTATAAATCAGTTTAAACAAAGAGTATATAACGTTATATACTTTTTGGTTTAAATCATTCTGACCCCGTTACTTACATTGTGATACTTAACAGTAGAGCTTTTAAAATAGGACTACTACAGGCCAGAGGCAAACATATAATTTTATCATGCACTTCAGTTGTAATAAATATTTTAGTTTATCGGTCTGTGATTAGATTGTAGGCAGGTACCTATTCGTGTGTTTTGCTGTAAGGATGTGCCTTTTATATCCGAAGTAAAACTACTTCTGTTTATTAAATAATAAACCTAATGGAATTAGGCAAGTTACCATTAATCTTCTTTACTAGGAGTCAGTGATACTTACCTACCTTTATTTTATTGGTAAAGAATTGTCTCTTTTTCCAAAACAGTCAGTACTAGGAAACGTAGCCTTAAGAAAGTAAATAAAGTAATGTATGTACTTACTGGCTCTTTCGGCATCGACAAAAACATTCACTCCATTAAAAATACATACAACGTAACTAGCAACAAGTAACAATCGCGACATCTTACAAATCTCACATCGATAGAAAAACAAAAATGATAAGTACGTAATATATCATTTAATGCACTTTATCTTTGCAATCTGAAGTGGATATCAAACTGAAAACGATTATAACCGCAGTGATTATACGAAAGGATTTGTGACCTAGGCGAAGATAGTTGGGCTGATGACTGAACGTTGTTTTTATAGTTCTATGTCACTCGAATATTATTCTCTTTGAAAACTAAAATGGTTTCCAGCATGTGATGACATATCCCGATAATTAGGCAACCCATCTTACAACGAGAATGATAGCACGACGAAGATACACGAATTAGGCCGTGGTCTTGAGTAATGATTGCCATATCATCAGCAAACATTGCCAGCGAACATACTGGGGGAACAGCAATATCATGCATAGCTATATTAAACAACAGAGGGCCCAGAACAAATCCTTGAGGGACCGCTGCTTTAAAGTTCTTGGTTTCTAAAGTGGCTGCATTTACTTTGCTTGCAAACGTTCAATTTCAGAGTTATATTGCTATGATGATTCCTGGGATTTTCAGCTGAATCATTTTGTAGAGGAGGCCGTTGTGCCCGACTGTCAAAAGCAACATCAAGGAACAAGGTAGTGTATTGTTTGTCTTCAAAGCCTTTGGTGATAGTTTCGTTGATTCTGGGAAGTATGGAGTGTTGGGATATGTATTATGTATGCTATAGGGCGATATAATGTCGGTTTTTTTACATTTTCCGGGCATTTCATCACTTCAGATTTAAGTATATTCCAATCAACTGGTCCAGGTCGCCGGAACAAGGGTTTCTTGAGACAAAGCACAAGCCGGGGAGTAAAGAGGTTTTTTAACCCCTTGTTAAGTAATGCCACTGTCAACTATAACCTTTCAGCATTTTCTGAGACTACGTTGCATCATGGACTAGTCATAAATTCGAGTAAATCAGCAGCAATTGTGTTGGGAAGAAAGCTAGATCGCGATGTTGTGAAACTGAACTTTAAAATAATAGTGAATATCGCCATTACCATTCAAGGAAGAGTTATAAAAATTTGTTACTCTATTTCGATGAAAACTTAAGGTTCTCAAAACGCGTAACCAAAACATGTTACTTAAATTTGAAGATATCACCATCGTCAGTATTTACCGTTAATATAAAAAAGGCGTTTGTGTGAATGTTTTGGTTTTGTACGCAACTAGTGCACACAAATGTTTGTGTGCTCAGTTATTGTTCTCCTTATTTCGTTAGCTACGCCTTCACCGAAGGTAAGTTTTGTGAGCTTTCCTAGCGTAATTGTCTAGGTAATTGTGGCAATCTTTTTTCAAGGTGTTTATGGCTGGAGATATATCTAAAGCATGTACTTTTGATTTTTACCGAGATTTTTACCTCTTCAATCACTGCCCTGTGGTTATAAATCGCCACCTGAAGTCAGTCTACATTTCCCGTAAATTATTGAAAGGTATTACGTCTTATAAATGTAGGAACTTGTGGATCATTCTAAATGGCGACAAGAGCCTTCTTTGTACCTGCGTCATTTCCGTTTGTGTGTCTTACTTGCTTTGCTAATCGTAGCAACAATTCTTGTAGCAGTGATCTTTTGGGTTTATGCTTTAGGTCGATCGACCTGACTCAAACACAATTGTCAGAGTCCTCAGTGATTACCAGAAGATTCAATTGGTTCTAAATAAGGGGTTGTTCGAATCGCTCGGAAGATTCCTTCTAATGCCAGGTTAATCCTAGGCGCCCTTATTTGGAAACCAGTGGGACATTACACCATTCCGTGTTATACGCCCTTGTATCGTGGTCAAATAACGAGAAACATCATTGTGTTTCTAACTTACCGGAGTTTACCTGTTCCCCGTAGTAAATAATTCTCTAATTACAGCCAATTTGACAGACATTCAACACAACGCACCATCGTATAAGAAAAACACGTGGAGGGTTATTTTATTTTGACCGAGACTACATCCGGCCTTTGATAGCGACAGCAAAGGTGTCGATAGTGTCTCTATATCGGCCACTCACTGATGCAACGCAAGTATCCTACATTGGAATTTCGTATTTAGTAACAGTTTTAGAACTATGCGGGCTTTTGACCTCTGGCCAGCCGGCTAGAGTTGCCTGAAGGCAACCCAGCGCATCTCCCAGTTTTTTTGTTAGTTCTCGATAAAGAAATTGTTTTTAGTAGCAATTGTTTTCAAAATTAAAAGGGAATATAGTTTTTTTCCGTTCAAAAATAACACTAAAAAAGAAGATAATTTATTACAAAACTAACAGAGTATTCTTAAAACTAATTACAGCTGTCATCATTAGGTTTTCCTTCTTAGTGGGTCCATTACGTCTCACATAAGGCATTGTTAAGGGTAAGTAACAGACTAGCAATATCTGGATAACCTTTAGCCAATGCCAAATGTAACGCAGTGTTGCCCTCCTTAGTTTGGGCAACGAGATCGATGCCCTTCTTAACCAATATTCGAATAACATCCGGATTTCGTTGTATAACCGCCGTATGGAGCGCGGTGTATCCGTCCACATTAACCGCATTGATGTCAGCTCCACTGCCAACGAGCAAGTCCAACAGCTCCTCGTTACTGCCGTACATGGCCGCATGCAACGGTGTGTTTCCTTGTAAGTTATGTACGTTGATGTTTGCACCTTTGCCAAGTAGAAGCTTCGCAATTTGCACGTTGCCTTTGGAAACGGCAATGTGAAGCGCGGTGTTGCCGTCTTTCTTCGCATAGTTGACGCTCGCTCCATTTGTAATAAGCGTGTTGGTCATTTCGTAGTGGTTATTAGCCACTGCCAACAGAAGGGGCGAGTACCCTTCGTTATTGTGAACAACTAAAGACGCGCCACTACTGAGAAGCGCATTTAGGGTGTCGGTATTGTTGTACCATACGGCCAGATGTATGGGTGCGTTGCCGTCCAAATTTTGAATGGATACATTCGCGCCACTTTGGATCAGTTGTTGGGTCAAGTTGACATAACCGACTCGGGCGGCCATGTGAAGCGCTGTATCTCCTTTTTTGTTGACGGCGTTGATCAAGGGCTTGTTTTGCTTACAATTCTCCGGACCTATAAAATGATCAAGATTTTAGCATATACAAATTTCACTAGTAGATACTAGTAAATTAAATGGCTATGGGGTTCAGGTCAGACTCAAATGTTTTGTTTTACCGCTTATAAGGTTGACAGATAAAATGCGGTACTTATAAATATGAGTGAAAACAGTGGGAAAGTAGCATTCATTAGGCAATTGTACGTGCGGGGTCGAACCTACGCTTGTCGTTTTCGCGGAGGTTCCGTCCAACTTAATTAAGGGAAGTTAATTGTTTAACTATTTTTATTTTATTAAAATTTCAGTTATTGAAGCTTCTCCCATGTAGGTACAAAATTATATTAGTAAGATTTTTAAATTTTCAATAGATGTCTAGATCATTATAAAGCCCAAGTAACATTAGTTGCCAAAATGATCATTTGGGGAATTATTTTTCACAATTCTGCCGAATCCATATTCCAAATCCATTCTGTTGCTAGTATACTACCTCCATTAAAAAAAGGGAGGGGAGGTGAGTATTTTCGTATAGGTATGTGGGAAAAAAAGAAGAAAGAAATTTTTTAATTTAATATATTCAACCATTTAGTAAATTTTGAGTTATATATCAGTGGGATTGAGCGGAATCCGCTTTTCCAAATTAAACTAACTGCGGGTCGAAAAGGGTGAGTATTAACAGAAGATAGATTTCTATATTATCAGAACTGACATACTATCTACCTAATTAATTGCGTTTCAATAATCTCTTCTCGCCTACGTACGAATTATAAATGAAAGAAAAAGTTATTTTTAAATTTTGATATCTGTTGTCGTCTGGTAACAAATCGCATACGATTGTAGTAATACGAACAAGGAAATGAACATACAGGATGGTCGGTCAGTATTGCTGACGTGACCAAACCATGGTAATGGTAATCTAACAGATAAAAACAATAACAAGGTATTAGTAGATCTTGAGTTTTTAAAGATATTCGGGTTTTGGTTGTGGTGGAACACAAGTCCAATTGGATTTTTCACCCCGGAAACGTAAATTGTTTGATGGGTTTTTCGCCCGCATTCAGAGCTCGCTTGCGAGTTATTGGAGAGAGAAAGAAATCCGCCCGAAATCAGCACGTTTTATTTGGACAATAGTGTCTAATTTTTGATTGGTTGTTGAGATCGGCGGCCGTGTTGCATCAAGGATATGTAATATTGTATTGTAGTGGACGCAACACATGTCATGCGTGTATTGTGTGTTGCCTACTTCTAATTTGAATTTTTGGTGCAACATGGCGGCTGAGCTCCTACTACGTTCGCACCTCCAGATGCAGTGTGGGGTCGTATGGACTAAATGCTTCTCTTACTAATTTGCGCCATTTTTCGATAAAGCTATCCTTGTTCCTCGCCCCAATAATGCCAAACTTGACACATAATTGAACTGAAGTAAAAATACAACATACTCTCCTTGTGCTGTCATAAGTTTGGCAAGCATGTACTGTATGCCCATAACCATACTGCAGCTGAAGGTGCAAACGCACTATACAGGCTGATTCAAATTCGAGGGTCACCATGGGGATATCGAAAACTGTAAGAGATAAGCAGGTATTTTAAATTTGGCAAAGTTGCGTATTTTGATGCTTAGCAAAATGCCGTTTTGAAACTTCAAAAATTCCGGCTACTTTCGGAGATATCCAGAAAAGAACGAAATTTTGCAAAATCGTTTTTACTTTTTACCGAAGTTATTTGAAAAGATATTTCGAAATAAATGACACATTATTTTAGTCATTTTTTTCCCTCTACAAGATGTTAGTTTTAAATTTGGAGTCTGACGGTTCGTTTCCGGTTAACCATCGTCAACTTTGTTTTTTCTTATGTCATTTTTACATTTTGTGTCATTTGATAGAACGAACGGAACGGATCGATCGGAAGATGGCGGTGAAATTGGTTATTTTAAATGGTATTACGACAAATGAATAAAAAAATTTGCTGTGGCTAGCACAGATACCACTCGCACACCTGCGCATGGGCGATTCTGCCCTTTTATGTCTAAGAATATGTGTACCAAATTTGGCTTCAATCGGTTCAGCCGTTTAGCCGGAAATGTACAGACGGACCGACAAACAGACCGACATCATCGATATTTTGTCTGATCGTATCCAAGGTAGGGGGTCATTTTTACCCCAGTGCAATACCTCCCTTACTGACGTGCTGGTGGTAAAATGGTACATGCCTTTTAAATCATTGGTATCGACTTCCGGTCTAATCGAGTTTTTTTGATAATGGATTGTTCATAACCGAACAAATTCAGGCAATATGTCATTATTATAAACAAACTTTTGATTACCTTATCCACCTAAGCTCAGTTACAAAACCAAACTGCTTAAAATTCATTTTAGTAGAACTGATATTGGAAATTGGGTTATTTAAAATTCAAAAATTATTCAATCAAAATCTTCTATACAGTTCATTTAATGGTACAATCGGACCTAAATGCAATACTATTGGATAAAGTGAAGGGCGAAGAAGCGAAATGAAAAAGTGAAAAAAAAAGCGGTAGCACTTACTTTTTGGATCGGGCGCAACGGGCAAAATTTTCGCCTGGACAAGCAGCAAAGTGCCAAACAACGTAATCAACCGCAAGGACATCTCGCAAATTTGTTCGCGCGCGGACACTCAACTATAAGAAAACTGAAGATCGTTACACGAAGAACTGGTTTGGTATAATGAAGTTTATCACACGGTGGCTTCCGATTTATCGACCTCCTCAGTCCCTCTAATCGCAAAAATTACCAGTTTCCCAACTTCTTAAATTCCGACAATGTCGGATGAGTCTTCCGATAAAGAGAATGACACAAAAGCAAATTATGTTTTTTTTATAGCGGATATAATTCTTGATAAGGCAACAATTCAGTTGCAATCTTTTACTATTATTAGAATTAGTCGTACCTATCCCTGAAAGGACGTCAATTGCATGTAGGTACCTACAAAAATTGGCACGTTCCATGAAAATCTTTGCACGTGGTTTTCCCCATTGTTTTATCTAGGTGATTCCCGTTTCCCCTCGACTAAGGTAAAGGTAAATAAAGATAAAATTGTGAAAAAATGAGGTCGGTCGACTAAATTACGTCGGTAATCGAATAAGTGTAGATTATTAGATAATTGTTTATTGATGCTTTATTAATGGGTAAGTTAATATTTGAAGATTTGTAAAAGTGATTATTAGATTAAGGCGACCTTTGAAAATAAGTCTATTTGCTATACTATTAGTGCAATTCAGAAAGATTTGAAACGTTATCGCAAGTTTCTGGAAAGCAAAAGTGGAACAATATTGTCTTGAGTCAAGGTATCTACTTATCTTTGTATTGAAACAACGAGCGGAGCAAGACCAAGAGGGAGCAGGACATTATGATGGTCGATTTGCTGAACCATCACCGAAAGTACTCACGTAAACCGGATTAATGTAATTCAGTTTAAATTGCCTATGAAAATTGGAATTCCTTTGGAGTGAACCGCCACCGAATTTGTTTTCCAATGATCCAATGTCTTAAGGATATTTTACATTTCAAGGGCTGAATACCTATTCCAATATTTAAAGGAAAATAACAAGTAATTTAAATTGCGCACAACCCTTGCGCACATAAAGCGCATATATATCTCGTCCAGACAATTCACTTTGCCTTTGTGGGTGCTTTCCTCCGACAAAGCGTTTTCGAGATATTCGCTAGCTAGTTTTGACATCACCAATAGATATATTTCTTTCAGACGTCCCAATTGCCCTTTGTGAGTGCCATCCTCTCATAACTGATTTATAGCATACAGAGGGTATGCCAAATTTAATAACCAGTGTAATCATTTTCTGTATGTTATTTGATGATCGGATGCATAATTTTTTTAGCTATTATTACTGTAACGGCAGACATTAAAACAATTTGATTGAGGTAGTTTATATGATATAATTTTTAATTTATTACTACAAATACCAGCCCCTACGAGCCTGTTTGACATCCTACGTCAATGATCACCATAATTCTGATCAAGTACTTAGGTATACAGTTGGTACCTATGGCAAAGAGTAACTAAGTATTCTTTGCCTATGGGAGGGGTTCACGTTTACCCCCCCCCCTCACCCCGCTTATGGTTAATTTTAACTTTTCAAAAATGTATTAATAAACTTATAAAACCAAGTGAACTTGTGACCTGTGAACCACCCCCTTATACCTACGTGCTTGAGTATGGCGAAATGTAGAAATGCTAAATAACAAAAAATAACAATTTAAAAAAAGTGTTGCGTCAACCGGGAATCGAACCCGGGCCGCCCGCGTTGCAGCTGCATTGTTAGACGAACAACAACGACCAGTATCTTATTGATAGATATATAATATGGATAATGCATATGGATGATACTGATAAATAATGAAATGTAGAAACGAGAATTTCAAAATGTAGATGTAATAAACACTTCTAAGTTAAAATACCAAAAAAAAACTCATTATAAAATAATCAGCGATCTCCTCCTCAAAACCTACTACAACGCAAGATTGGAATTTTTAATTTCAATTTTAACATGGCATACAATCAACTGAGCCAAATAAACGTAAATGGCCGATCTGTACAGAGTATTTTGTATAGGTACAAATAATACAATATTATTGTATTTTGGAAGTAGTTTTATGACTTTAATCCGGTTGCTAATACGTATTTAGAGGAATTTTTCGAAAAAAACTTGTCCATCCGTCTATTATTCGCCAATCGATTTCTACAGTCTGTGTAATAGGAACTGTCGGTTGTGCCCAAGGATACTATATATAGTATCCTTGGGTTGTGCCATCCAATATTTTCTTTTACGTTTCGTTTGAATGTCTGGTGCGCATTCAGTCCGACGTCGGTTTACTCTCTCTATCTTTATGACAAGGACAAAGATGTCGATTATTCCGACGTTTAATTAGGAGTTGCAACATTAAAGTGTCAAACTTCGTTGATTTTTTTGGTTAGGTTTATGAGTGACATATGACAAACGCCAAACGTCATCCAACATGCGACTCTACGTCATGTCTTATTAGGGGCGTTCAATGCATGAATCGATACGTATCGATTTATATCTCTTTTGATAGTTTACTGTTCAACAAACTCGATAGGATTCTTAGACCATATAGTACATGGACTGCTAATTGTAACTAAAATATGGTCAAGGACATCGCCTGGGTATGTGAGATTCAGGGTAAACGAGTCTGTTCGAAATTGTCCGATGAGACACGATTTGAGGCTGTCAACCTATAAATTAACAAACTTCAATTAATTAATCGCCTAGATATGGCAAAAAAGCAAACCTATTCTTATTTGTGGACGTATAGAAGATAATCATGAGTATTTAAAGCTTCCCGTACTACGCGGTTACCATAAAAGCTACTCCTACGCGATCCAAGTGGTGTTCATTCGACTTTAGTTTACCCTGAAATTCACATACCCACGACTACAGTGCCCTCTATCCGTGACCACCCTTTAAGGTGGGTTCATAGCTCTCCGTTCATCCGTTGCGTTGATCCGTCAAACGGATAGTACATTTTGGTAAGGTTCATAGCAATCCGTCCACATTGTACATTTGCAAGTACAGTGTGAGCAACAATGATTGAAGCGTGCGTCATCACCGCTTGTTCCTATTAATATCAAAACTACCTTCTTTGTATGGAGTTGTATACGAAAATGACGTTCTGCGCTGTCACAGTGAGGTGCGTCTATTCGTATTTCGTATCTTGTATCAAATCAGCATATGCTATGAGCGGCACATTGCCAATTTAGCTGAAGCGGCACGCTTCAATCTTTGTTGCTCACTCTGTATAACCATAACCTATACTTTATTTTGTACTGTACCCTCCGTGATTTTCAGTATGTAAAAATGGTACGAAAGTAAGAACACGTTGCTATCTGAATATTACCGTGAAGAACGAATAGGCGAACACTGTTAACGTACCAAACATAACCTCACTCTTGTTAAAAACGGACCAACGGAAACGTAAATGTTCAACTTCAACCAACTTTTCCGTCGTAAACGGACTATTACTATTACTATCGACACCTAACAAATGAATCGTATGAATTGTCCGAACTTTTTGGATATTTTGTCCAAAAAATTTGGATTTCTTGTCTAAAAAAAATTCGATATTTGGATATCTTGTCGCGCCACCGACAAGATATCCAAATCGGAGTTTCCAAATTGGTTGGATATTTTGTCGCTTTATTTGGATTTGGATAATTTGTCGATAAAAATTGGATATCTTGACGAAAACAATCCATATTTGGATAATTTGTCCCTAAAAAGTTGGAATTTGGATTTCTTGTCGGTCCCACTGAAATCAGGGGAAAAACCATTTCAAATGCGAATATCTCCGAAACGAATCAATAGAATTTAAAAAGTAAATCAGATTAGTAATCACGATTAAATTGGCTTTCAAATAATGTGCCATTTGCCATAGGATTCCATTTAAAATTTTAGGGGTTAAGCTCCCTACGTAGAGGGGTGAAGACTTACTTGGGTTCGAGATTTGTATTCCAAAAGTTGTCCCCCTCGAATACAAAATTGACGTGTTCGAGGATTTTTCGAAATTCTAAATTTAATACCCTAAAAGTCCTCTGTATACTTCTCGTTGGGCCACTCTGTATAATTCACTTGAAATAGATTGATTTAGGAAAAATAGAGAGCGTTGATGTAGCTCAAGATCATTACAAGGTATAGAGTTAATGGAAAAAGACGCAAAAGTAACAGATAAAAGTTAACAATATTAAGGTGTTCGCTCTAACCTAAGTAACACAACCTCGAACACAACGTAAAGATCTCTAATTTCATTGGTCAGGCATCAAGGCAGCGACGAAGAAACGCCGGTGCAAACATGACAATGCTCGACGCCGTGCGGCCCATATGATACGAATAACGAATCTCCGCCAGAAAACTTACACTTCAACGTTGCCATATTCGATGGTGTATGGTTGGTTGCCTAAGTGGGAGTAAGCTTCTTATTGTCATTACTTTTGTCGGTAATCTCTTTGATCTAAGGGTAATCTTACAAAGCCTGAATGGGTTGCGTGTTACCACAGATGTATTACAGAAACGCTAACGCTTATCCAGTAGAGAGTACTCCCGCCTTAACTATATAGACCTACAAGAGGCCGGGACACTTCGCCGACACGATTTTCTTATGGTCCATATCGCCACAAGTGTACAAGGGACGGCACTAAGCCGAACCTGACCACAACCACGATTTATGTAAAAATTCTTGACAGTGTGACGGGCATGGCCGGCATTGTCCCTTATACACTCGTCGACTGTCGGCGATGTTGGGAATCAGCGATATGGACCATCAAATCATTTTACGCGACTATACATATTAGATAATTAATGAGCCTGACAGCATATGCTGGTGAGTGGTGAGCAATGAACCACATCATACCTTGTAAAGGTCCATGTGGCAGCTTTTTGATTTGAGGTTTTATAAGGCTTAAACATTCAAGAAGGTACACTTTCTACATAGACATATGAGAATAAGACTATACTTAGTGCATGATAGTAGCAATAATCGAATCGAATATGGGTTACAAACACCTATTGAGCTACTTCTAAATTGTTTATTTGTGGTGAAAAATGGCATGCATGTTTAATAAAACAATGAAACATAACAATTACAATATTTATTATTATTTACTTCCTTCAACGACCGATTTTAATTCTTTAAGAGCATCAATAAACTCTGTAGCAAGTGGATTTTCAGCAGCCATGATGTTCTCATACATACAAAGTGTTCGTTCCTTTAGCATATTTAAATTTCTATGTTTTTCA